AGCAACCTCTTTTTGTTTATCTGCTCTCTCGTTCTCTCTCCCTAACCTCTTCTTCTCATGGCACGGAAACTGTGGCCCTTCAATATTTGATGAATCTCAATGGCTCACAAGTAGATTTGCTGTAAAGAGTAACAGCAGTGGAGCTCAGGTGTCAGACCTCGTCTGCCTCAGTCAGTCAGCAGTCTGGACTCCCAGCTGAGGATAAACACCCCTGAGGGACATTTTACCCCATCTGCCACAATAGCACTTGATGTAAACATCAAATGGATTACGCCCTCGAGACAAGAGGGCTGTTTACACACACAGTGTGCACCTACTATATACCAAAGAGTGAGTGTGAGTGCATGTGGAGCAATAAACTATGAGTGTGTGTTCAAGTGTTGTCCCTGTTGGCTTTTAGAAAATAGACTCTCTTAAAACACACTTCTAACTCTCTCATGTAATTTGTCTGTTGACAATTTCCAACAGTATATACGCACTTAATCAAAGGCCTTGTTGTCTGCAATGTCCTTTTTATCACATCTTACATGTTTAAACATATGTTAATAAAAATATTTAATAAACAGGCTATTTTACAGTGTCCTTGTACATGCGCTTAATAATAACAGTACATCACATGCAACTAACCCTAATCCTAACCCTAGTACACATTGTTAATTAATATCATTCTGAACTTAAATATATAATTACAATGTACACCTTAAAATAAAGTGTAGCCTCTAAACACATTTAAAACATATTTAAAAACTTGTTTCCACCACAGCATTTTATTAAACACAAATCATTTGTGTTTAATAAGATTGTGTGATGGAAATTACATTTTAAATGTTTAATTAATAACTAAAATGTAATATATCCTCACATGATTTATTAAAATTGCTTAAACAAAACAGCTTAACCAAACACACTGAGCTCAGACGTAATTCCTTTGATTTTTTCTTTACACATCATGTCTCATATTTCATCTCTAGCTCCTCACTGACACTGTTGACTAAAAAGTAAATGAAAAAATAATAATTAAAAAAAAAAAAGTATACTAAAAGGTTATATCTGTTACTTTTTGAAAATGTAAAAAAAGTATGTAAAAGGCAATGTAAAACATGAATATTTATGATAAATTATGTTTTTATATATATACATACATATAAACAGTCTGGGTCAATTAAGATACCAAAAATATGCTGAAGGCATGGCAAAAAACAAACAATAAAATGAAAAGCATTGAAATCTATTTGAAATCTATAACCTTTAATAAAAAGTGCCCACAGATGCAGAAACACCCGTATATATATATATATATATATATAT